TTTTGATTGGTCCGTGACCTGGACAAAATAACTTTCATTTTTGTCCTAAAAATCTGACATGAGCACACTCAACTCTATCAGTTGACAATATTGACATATATGGCCTGTGTGTAGAAATCTTACAGGTAATATACTTCACAGCACACGGGGTATGAGGCAGATAAAATCACTAGTACTTCTTACATTGTATACTGAAGACTGCAAGGAAGCTTTACTGAGTAAACACGATGAGCATCCGAGGAGACCCAGACACTGTTTCTCTGGCACACAGCACTGCAGCAATAGCAGCAGCAGCCTTGCCCTTGCCGCTGATTCTTATGACTCTAAACGTCCCCTCTGAGCCAGAATACACTGGCTGTTGCTGATCATGCTGTGAGACACCTGCACTGGCTACTGGGCTTGTCATGACGCACAGAACCTACCATCTTCAGCTTGACACTGTGCACGTTATAATTACTCATCCAAATGAACATGTCAGAGCAGCAGCAGCAGACCTCTCATCAGGGCAAAGGGAAAATACATCACAACATTATCAGCCCAGCAGGAAGACGGGGACCATACGGAAAATCACCCATTTCTAACGCGGATGCCACAACGCCCTGTCTGTTATGTTTCAAAAAGAAAGGAAAATAAAGATCTTCCGAGTTAAAGTCCAGGAACACTGGAGCCAGAAAAGAAATGTACAGAAGCAGACAAAGCAACGGATTTGTAAAATCCGTTATGTGGACTCTATATAAAGTGTTTTAAATACAACTTTGTTACTAGATTACAACAGTAACAACCATTTGCTTAAGAATCAAACAATTTAAAAATGATTTTAAAAAAGAAAGACAGAAAAAGAAAAGAAAAAGCCTAATCTTGTAGGAGCAGAACTGTCCCAGCCAGTCTGTGAAGAAGGACCAAACGCAATTACTGCACCTTGAGTATGATGTTCCAGAAACAAGTCAGCATTGCCAACACTCTAATGTTAAAGAATCAGAGTTCATGTTCTATCAAAAAAAGATAGGTCAATATGTAGATTCAAGCAAAAATTTTTGAAATTTTTGACATTTTAATTACAGGTATTGTATTAAAAAAAAAAAGAACTGAAATTACCTCAGACATCTTCAAGCTGCATGTATAATGAAGACAAGAATAAGTTTAGATTGTTCTATACTAATACTTGAATATGAAAAATAATAACTGTTAGAACAAACTATAAGTTTTTATCTTTTCAGAAAAAGGATATAAATTTTATTTTATTTGATATACTATATAATCAAAACCATTAAGACTGATATATGACCACTCTGAAAGTCTGACAAAACATATAACACAGAGTTAAAACAGATGCCATGAAAAGATACTCATATTCTTTGTGACCAGCAAAGTATTAGTATGAAAACAATATGAGAGATGCACATCTTCTAAAAATACTTCTAACAGGCTAAGATTATGGGCACAGCAATAATTATCAATTCTTGGTAAGAATTGAAGGCAGACTAAGATCAAAATAAAATATGGTAATGTAAGAATTACTACATGTGCCTGAATGTAAGTACAGACTTATACGACCAATTTGGGAAGACAAGCTGGCAGTATTTAGTAACCTCAAAGAGGCATATTCCACATAACAGTTATAATAGGAATAATCCATACACAAATCCTCATACATATGCACTGAGAAGTACATAGAAGCATTCTATTGTATGGTGATGATGATGATGATGATAATAATAATAAACAACTGTGGATAACTTTACCAATAAGGTAGTGAATAAATTAACTGATAGTCATAAAAACATATAGCGTTTTAAATGAGTAAAATGACAGAGATGAGTATAGATAAATCAACTAAGTGATTCCGATTTAAAATACCCTACATTGCAAATATAGCATAAGAATATGCATGGATAGCATAGTTAGAATTTAAGGCAAAAATGAGTCCTGTTCAAAAAACTAAAGAATACAGAAGAAATGAGGCCAGTGTGGCTCCAAGATCATTTTATTTCCAATAGAAAGGGAGAGAACTAGACCCACATCTAAAGCAAATATGATAAAGTAATGTCAAATGTGAGCTGTGGGTTAAAAGGAGTCTTAATTTTTCTAGGACTTTGGTAAGAATTTTAATATATTCTACGAATTTAAAAAATATTATATCCTATTTACTACTAATTGATCCTGTCTGCTTGAAGCTATTAGAAAGGGGAATTTCCAACAGTCAGATCTAAAGCATTAATGGACTAATATCACATTAAATGCACACTCACAAGCCTAAGGCTGGGAGCATGTGTAAAGCATGAACACCAAATCTAGGATAAACTATTCTCAAGAAGGTTCCAGCCCAGCAGTCAAAACTAATTTTGGTATCACACATACTCTTCATGACCTTTCAGGGAAACTTACACAGTATCCACAATAAAAAGAAAACTAAGAAACTCATCACTAAGACAATTAAGTGTGAATTACACACAGAATCTTAGAAAGGGTCAAGCAATCAATGCACAGTGTTTTCTCATGACCTCAAGGAATTTTAACTGAAAGATGAGACTTCCAGAGTCAAATGAAAAAGATGTTTCTACATGGTACATTTACACACTGGAGTACTACTCAGTGGAAAAACAAACAAACAAACAAAAACCAAACCAACCCCCCCCAAAAAAAATGTAACAATGTAATCTTGAAATTCAAAATTCCTAGGCAAATAGATGGAACTAGAAGAAATCATCCTGAGTGAGGTAACCCAGTCACAAAAAGATGAACATGATATGTACTCACTCATATATGGATTTTAAACATGTAGCAAAGGATCATCATCCTATAATCCACACAGCCAGAGAAGCTAGGAAACAAGGAGGACCCTAAGAGAGACATACATGGCCCCCCACAGAATGGTAAAGGAGAGTAGCTGATGGAAGCAGAAGCAGACACCCACAGCTAAACACTGAGTTGAACTATTTGCAGACCGGGAAAAGTAATGAGTAAAGGGGTCAAAACCAGGCTGCAGAAACACACAGAGACAGCTGACCTGAACAAGGGGGGAGCTCATAGACCCCAGACAGATAGCTGGGAAACCAGCATAGGACTGACCCAGACCCCCTTAACGTGGGTCTCACTTAGAAGGTCTGGGCAGTCTAAGGGACCTCTGACAGTGGAACCAGGATGTATCCCTGGTGCAGAAAAGGATTTTGGGAGCACATTTCACAAGGAGCTATATATACTCCCTTAGCCTAGAGACATGAGAGAGGGCCTAGGCCCTATCCCAAATGACAGATTTTGATGATCCCTCCTGGTAGACCTCACCCTCCCTGGGGAGTGGGTGGGGAATGGGACAGAGGATAGGGGGTGGGGGGGGAAGGAGCATGGGAAGGAGATAGAGTTAGGATTGATATGTAAAATCAAAATATTTTTTCTAAATTTTAAAAAAAGAAAAGCAAAGATGTTTCTAAAGGAAAAATAATACATTTTGTAGGCAAATGAACTGTTGCAAAGAAACCATTTTTATAAACTTATGAGCTACATCTTGGGTTAGGATACATTGTGAGGGGAACCTTGGCAGATTCCATGGCAGATGATGGTGACCAAGGCAGGGGACAAACATGCCAGGCAGACAGAGCTTAAGTGAAAAGTTTTATTAGAAATAGAGGGAAGGGGGGAGGAAAGAGGTAAAGAGACAGAGAGAGAGAGAGAGGACAGAAGAGAAGAGGGAGACAGGAGAAGTCCTGTCTGCTCCAGAACAGCAGGGAAAGAGAGCAGGAAAGAGGAGCGGGAAAGGAGTAACTGGGCAGAGGTCTTTCTTTAAAAGGGTCCTTTGCACCTGGGCTAACCAGGGTACTGCCTGAGTGCATTCTGTCAGATGACAGGGGCAGGCCAGAATAATGCCTGTATCCTTACATCTAGCACCAAAAGAAAATTACATTTTCTGTGTTTTACCAATTTCTACTAGAGAAAATGGGATTTTTTTGTTGTTTTTAAATAAGAAAATGAAAAAAATTAAATATGACTTAAAATGTCTGATTAATTATTCAAACCCTCATGAACCCATGTCCTCTTAAGCATTTCAAAATTAACTTATGGTCAGGTGACAGGGCTAAATGGGCAAAGGTTGCCACTCAAGGCTGAAAACCTGAGTTCAATCTCTGGAACCCACATAAAGATGGAAAGAGCCAACTCCACAAGCCTGTCCTCTAGTCTCCACATGTGCACTAGAGCACACAAGTGCCTACACATATAAACACATACAATAATAATAACATACTCAAAGAAGCAACATATAACTGTTCATGTATATCCAAACATAAACTTTTGTATATCTTTAAACATTTCAGAACAAAAACATGGATGACTTCTACTTAGGGAACACTTGTAAAGTGTTACTATAAATTTGTTTTCATTTCCCAATCTATGAACAGAGATGTTTTCGTCTAGGTACTATCAATTACAAAAACTGACTTGGTGCAAAGGAGGACAGTGAACAATCTCATCATGACACTGTTCTGCTATGATTTTTAAAGATATTTTACTACTAATACCTCCTTCTAAGTATATAACATCAGTTTATATCATAATTATAAAGACATTAATCTCTATCAATTTACTAGAAAATTGAATTAGCTTAAGTAGGGTAAACATAGACACAAAAGACAACAGTACAGTTTATATTTCATCACCCTTTTATAAAGGTTATATATGTCATCAATATTAACAAATTTAACAACATACAAAATTCCACACACTGTTTTCTAGAGTATTTTAAGATTTAAATTTAACACTACACTATACACAAGTAGAGATTCTACATGTTTGCCTAAAGTAAAGAGATCTAGACAAGTGTGTGTCCATGCCTATGTGTAGAGAGAGAAAATAGATATTAGATATTAATTTTTGGAAAATATGAATTAATACAGGAGGGTTAACATAAATGCTTAAAATAAATAATTTAATAATTTTAGACACTAAAATGATCATTCAACTAAAAAGGATATAATACTCAATTATTGAAAATAAACTTTATTATTTACCTGTGGTGTCCAGGAAACAGAGAACGGAACAGGAAAGTCCACAAAACAATCTGGTGGCTCTATAGGATACTGTGACAAAGCATAAAAGTAGGTCAATCTTGTGTCTGTGCGACAACTTGACATGAAGCATTTCAAAAAAAACTAGATACATTATGAAAAATATTATAACCATAAGCATATATACTGCTGTAATACTTATGTAATATATAATATATAGATATACATGCACATACTAAAATTGTACTATTTAATCGGTATCGGGAGCTGATTAATAGCCACCTCATGCTAAAAGGTTCAGTGGCAGGGGCGGGGGAGGGATTTGGGTGGGTAGTGGGTGGTCCCAAAAACTGCTGAGTAAGCAGCAGTGATCTGAGTCCTTATCATAGATACCAGTATGATCTGAGAAGGAACAAAATCTGTCAGCTTTTCTTTAAACAGAGATTACATCAATTGAATTTAATTCCTTCTGGTCACAAAGTTAATCTCAATAAGGTTCAGTCACCAGCTGACTAGAACAGCATCATTAAAATATTGCAGAAGCACACAATGATTATATGTAATTAATTGTTAATTTAAATGTGACTTCCCATAATAAGCAACTCTCATATCAAAAAGAGAAAGTAAAAACAAAAAAAAAAAAACAAAACAAACAAAAGAACAACAATAAAAAACTCTGCTTCATTAGAGAAAAATAAAACAGTTTTAAGCAACAAAAAAATTTTAAGATTAGTAAAACTATTAGAAAATTAACTACTTAGTTATAGGAAAATAATGATAGTCATAAAAACAAATCAGGTTTTTTCAAAATTAAATTTCTTATTAGAGAATTATATTTCAAAATCAATTAAAATATAATTCTGAAATCTTCAAAGTCATTTATAATTAAAAATACTCATTACTTACCATTAAAAAGCTAAATTTCTTAAAAGAAAATGAGTTTAAAAAAAGTTCCTATGACAAAATATTCTAAGTTCCAGGCTCTATATTTTAGTCTATTTTTCATTACTTTACCAAGGACTTCATAGGGACAGAAGGAAAAGGAGATGTAACTATAACATTTTTCTTTACATAACTATATTTGAAGTCAATGTTTTCCAAGGAATTAATGTTTTGCTATCAGGGTAAGTGTGACTAAAATGAAACTAGTATCAATGCATATTAATTAACTCTATCTGGCTATATAAAGTCAGAAACAAAATTAACACAAAGCCACAGGAAAAGAATTATAATGCTTAATCCTAAACAAGAAAAGAACACATTGAGGAAAATGGAGAATATTCAAGATATTCCAGGCTGTCTTTCAGAGCACGGGCTGAAAGCATGAAGGATAAAGTATGTACACCTTTCCTGTATTTAAGTTTTGTGAGCTGTGTCAGCAATCCTTGCCAACTGTCCCATCCCTTCACTCTCTGGCTCCAGACATTCCACTTAACTTTTACCTAGATGAAACATTTAACTTCTCAGTCTTGCACATTAGAAATTGACAGAAATTAAAGTGCTATAAAATTCCATTTCAAAAGAAAAAAAAAAAAAGCTGGGTGGTGGCACACACCTTTAATCCCAGCACTCGGGAGACAGAGGCAGACGGATCTCTGTGAGTTCAAGCCTAGCCTGATCTACAAAGCTATACAGAGAAACCCTGTCTCAATGACCACCACCAACAAAAGACCCATTTCTCCTAAATTATCAGGATCCTTTAAAAATATGCATGGTGGCCAGATGGCTCAGCAGGAAAAGGGGCTTGCTACAAAGAATGATATTGCAAATTCAGTCTGGGGAATTCACATGGTAGGAAAGAACTGACTACCAAACGCTGTCCTTCATCATGTGTGCCATAGAACACACACACACTGATAGATTACAGATAGAAAGATGGATGATATATACATAGATGATAGATGGATGATGGATAGATAGATGATAGATAATAGACAGACAGATTGATAATAGACAGATATAGATATTAAAAAGTTTAAAAAATTGTAAGAATGTACCCTCAAAATCTCTTTGGTTCAGAAATAGAAAATTTGATTCACTTTGGCTTGCTATTTTTCACACTGGGATCTACTAATGACCAGTTTCAGTTCTAACTTAAAGAGTTATCAGTGTGGGTATTGTAAGAATATAATGGAAGGCTTGGTAGTCTACATAAAGCCTCTGTGGTCCTAGATGTCCTCAAGAATACACATGGCTTATTACATTAAAGAGAATAAAACTCCAAATTTAAGTAAGATTCAGTACAAGAAATAGTACAAGTACAATGACATGGATGGATATCCATACCCAAGAGAATTAACCAAAAGAAGCATACTCAATAATTGATAACCCTGTGTATACAAATAGTCCTCTGTTACCATCTGTGAGGTAATGACATTTGTTGTATATATTTATAATTGTGTAGACACACACACAGGCATTTAATGAATTAAACTGATCTGTAGTGGTTTTACTGCACGTCTGGTGTAAGTTCAATAAATATAAGATATTATACATATTACTATTACTTACATGAGATGCCAATTTGTTCAAGTAAACTGTATATAAGTGGAGACCCAAAAAGCAATTTTATGTGTTTAGAGGTTTATCATGAATTATTAAAATATAAAATTACATCATTGGTATTTATTTTAATTTTTTTTGGGGATGGGTACTTTTGAGATAGGCTCTCACCGTGTAGGCCAGCCTAGCACTGGAACTCAACTAAATGTACAGCCTGGGTTTTCTTCAAACTTTGAGCAATCCTTTCTCCTCAGCTTCCCAAGTGCTGGGATCATGGGAATGAACCAGCATATATAAATTCATTTTCCAAATAGCTTCTGGACTACGGTAGCTAAATTACAGTGCAGAACTAAATACAATGTACCAAACCACAGAGCCAATGTTGGGATAGCTCTTAAGCTTTTAGGGTATATAATATCAACTTGCATTAGTTATAAAAACTATATTGTTATTTTGTTTGTTTTGATGGAGCTGGGCATGGAATCCAAGGTCTTGGGTAAGGCAGTTAACCAACTGATCTAGAGCTGCAGCCTGAAAACTTTTATTTTGGAAATTTAATTGACAATATTCTGCATATAGGAAAGGGGCAAGATGACACACATGTGTAGACCTAGTACCCTGAAGTCACCACAAGCTGGAAGCTAGTCAGGTCCACATAGCAGCTTCCAGGTCAACTACGATTACACAGTGGCACACTGACTCAAAAATTTTTTCAAGTATAAGTTCAAGTATTATTTCTCAAAAAAATAATTCTGTAAATCTCTCTTGAAGCAAGCCAAATGATATATTTTCAAGGAATTATATACTATTAAGTACATATATTTGTTGCAATAATCTATGGTCTATTATTCCAGAACACATTTAACCAAGTCTGTTCCAAACAAGAAGGCTGCCCCTAAGTGAACACACACAAGTGCTGGGCCTGTAACACACACTTCATTGTTTTCTACTGGGTTTATGTATTTACCAGTTGTCTTGCCCAAATTAGTATTTTGTTCACTGTGGTTTGGGAATGGGAAGGGTGGTAGATTTGGGAGAGTAGGTATTCAAGAATAAAACAAACCAAAATGTACTTTTTAAATATATGTCAAGAAACAAAGGTCTGTATATGTACAAAAATAAACAAACAAAAACAAAACAAAAAACCAAAAGCAAAACCTTAATTTAAGGTTTGTTTAAAAAAAAAAACATACTTTGGTTAAAGATATTAAACTCTAACATCTTACCAAATACTTTTTAGTGATTAATATTTCTTAAATGATATTCCTAGGCCCAAATACTGAGTGGAGAAGAAAGGGAAGGAGAGGAGAGACCACATATTGAAGACAAACTTGCCATATCTATAAATCTAAATTAAATCGATAGGTCTAATAAAAACCAACATAAGATTAAGATCCCATGTCTTTTTCAAATACAACCCCCTAACTCCTTCCATCTCAGGTGAAAATTTGTTTTTACTTTGGCAGTGTCTGTCTGTAGTTAAGTATTGTGAAACTATAGACATAACACAGACAAAGGAAGACAGTGTTAGAGAAATATCTCATCTAAATTGCAAAGCTGTTTCTTTAAAAGGACAGACATAGTGGAGCACACTAATGTCCACATCATCATTTGGAATACCAGTAATTAATGAAGTTAATGTTATACTTAAGTAGAATTTAAAAATCTTTTGCTATACTGGACCCCACAATACTTAAAATTAATAAAAGACAAACAAAATCCTCTAAACATAGAAGGCAGAGTGGACATAAGCACTGTCTGCTTAGGCAGCGCAGGAGCTTTAACCCTGCATGAAAATCATGGGTTCTGACCTTCCCACTGGCAGTGTATAGGACCTAAACAGTGACTTGAGTGAAGAGGCAGAAACACTTTGCTGGCTGAATGTGACCTTCTGTAAGGATAAAAAATGATTTCTTTTATTTTTTTGAAGCTTACCTTTAATAACTTAAAAAGAAAAAACTTTATTTTAATGAAACAAACCTATAACTCATTTTAAAAATTAATCAGGTTCATATCAAATTTATTTGTTGATTTGTCTTAAAATTATACCGAAATGTTCTTTCTGTTTGTGTGCAGGAGAAATGAGCCACTAAGACATACCAAGTTTTCTAAGCCAACCAATATAACTTTATATGTCTGTTTATTTTTTTTTGAAACCCTTAAACTCTAGACACATTTTTAAAAAGAACAAATACAATTTATCTTTTCATCACTACAATTTTTTGAAATAGAATTGATTGATGACTACCAGGAACAATAAAAATCTGGATGTCCTGGTTTCCTTTCAATTTCAATGTTTCCCCAGTTGTTACTAAGGGAATGATTAATATGTTGGGCTTTTCTATTTATTTTTTAAAATTCCCAATTTAGAGCTAAAACATAAAGATGAAATAAAAATATAAAACAAATGTTTTGTGAGTTTATAGATCACTAGTATACAAAGGCTATATGTAGACATAACCTTTCAAAATTCTTAAAATATACACAGGCAAAAACTTAAGCCAAAATAATAATCTCTCTATCTCTCTCTTACATTCGTGTGTGTGTGTGTGTGTGTGTGTGTGTGTGTGTGTGTATGTGTGTGTGTATGTGTGTGAGGGTGCATGCTTGTGTGTGTGTTGGGGGTAGAATGAGTAAAGAGGTAAGAACTACAAACACAACTCATAGTCAGAAGTAGAGGCAAGAGACTTTCTTGGAACTTTATTAGGACAGGGGACACACTCCTTACACACTCTTTTCTATATTGGACAGTACAACACTAATGTCACAGTGCTTGGGGGCTGTTGACTCTTTTAATATTTCTTGATTATAACATCTGCATTTTGGTAAAATTTTGGAGTAAATTAATGACAGGAATTATATCTAGACTTTTAGAAACTAGACGAATAAATCCCTAAATCTTTAAAGTCACCCATGTCATTGTAAAATAAGCAGCACTTCTAAACACTGGAAACATCCAGAGCTCATTTCTCACAGCATTTCCTGATCACAGTAACGTGGCTCGTACCTTCGGCTTCAACTTGACAGTGATCACATGCTTTCTACCAGAAGCATCCTCTGCTTTTAACTTGATGGTACTGAAGGAAGTATCCACACACACAAGTCTGATGAGCAACAGAGAATAAAAAATGATCACACAGAGGTGGGCTATGGGGTGCAGGGGAGGGCACCATTCCTACAACTACACGGAGAAAATTAATCAGGAATTTCTGCATGCCAGCTTGTTCTCCTGCTATAGATTTACTGCAGTTAATACAGCAGCCTAGCGCTTAATGCAGCCATAGATCTCAGGATTATTTACAATGTGTGTCAAGACTCATGCTGTGGTCAGTGAGCACTATGTTTCGCTTTTCCATCACTGGAACCTTTGGCACACACAGCATGTTTCTGTCAGCATCTACTTATGTACACATTAAACTTCCTGTCAAAGTCTTTGATCCATTTCTGTAGTTTCATACAGTATGAGATTTTTATGCTTCCTTTATTTGTTTTTCTCCTCAATGAACTTCTCCTTTGTTATCAATAATGTTACTGTACAACAATCCAGCTGATATTTGTTTATGTACTCAGATTAAACCTATGGAAAATGCTGTATAAGCACAGGTATGGACTGGTCTCTAAGCAATAAATTTCTTTTGTGCACAAAATATAGCTTTTGACACAATCCAGGCATGTATTCAATATGACTAATATTTTAAACATATGACTCAAACTCAGTTGTTTTGGCTTTGGATTGCTCTAAATGCATGAATTCTCTACAATGAAAACCAATATCCTTTGAAATACATCATTCTGTAAAACAACAGTCCCTTGAGTAGAATCAGCTGCTGCCAAAGTAGCTCAAAGTTGGCATTGTGTTTACTAGTGCACAGGGGGTGTGGATGGCGCTGGACATTTTTATACTATTATTCTCTTTAAAGACCAGAAGTGGGATGAGACCATTGTTCAACTCTTCACCCAGAGAGATGGTAAGAACCAGCATTACCCTCTAACTCTGGGAACATTTTAACATCACCATAACCCATTTGGTTGCTGACCAGGGATGAAGGTAAAATGGTTCAAATAAAGAAAATACTGGCCAATGGAGTTGTGAAACACTAATAAGTAGCCAACAGGAATCTGAACAATAATGGATTAAAATATAAAACCAAATTATCAAGTTCTATGTAATTAGTAAATTGTCTAGAGTCTTAGAAAACAGATTGAAGTAAAATTATGGTTTAAAACATGTTTGTGTATATGGTTTCCTTTTTTTCCTTCTACTTCTCACATCCCAACAATGTATTTGCTTCCATCACCTTTTCCAAAGATTCAGATACATGTGTACCTGACTGAAAATTTTTTCAGATCCAAAACGAAGAGAAGGATATACATTTATTTGTTTTTTCTCTATTTACAAACATTATATGTATTTAAAAATACAGGGATTTTAAAAATAGCTGCAGTTTCAAGATTAACAAGAGTTAGCATTGATTAAAGCAAAAGCATAGAAACTTTTATGAAATACAGCCTTAAAGGCACTGGCTGAAAGGGGGAAGTCTCTGAAATGAGTAACAAACAGTTGGTAGAAGAAAAGATCTGTAAAATAATGTAGAATTACACACTGACCGAAAATAAGGGCATTTTTTTTTAACATAAGAAATCAAACTGGAAGATGAAGTTTTATAAATAATATCAGATGGGAACCTTACAAATACTCTGCTAGTAACTTCTCAGTGAAATAGTTTTACATAATCATAAAAACAAAACTGTTTACTTTTAACATTTAGAATTTAGTAAAATCAAAAAAAAAAAAAAAGAAGAATGGTAGCTACAAAAACTGATGTCAATCTACTTAACAACTGCAAAACTGCAATTTAAAAGGAAGAGATGAGAGCCCTGGGGAGATCAAAGACGTGATCAAGAATGAAGATTAATAACAATGAAATCTATAATTGCTAATGTAGAGTCAAGAGCACATATTGAACTGGATGAATATGAATGGGACTTAAAACATATTAAATCTAATGTTTTTTAATCTCTTGAAATACTGTACATAGTTTGACAAACAGTTTAAATTACTGAGCTTCTTTTCCTTAAGGAATTAGATTTATTTAAGAAGTCCTAACATCAACAGGAACCCACATCAAAGCCCAGACTGAGGGGTATGAGGTATGGACTTTTTCAAAACTTTAAAGGTCCCATTTTGAATGTTAAACACTAATTACATCACTCCTAGACTATTCAAAACTCCCGCTCTGTTCACTTTTGTTACTTTATTTCCCTTTATAATGCCAATCAGTGTTGTCTTCTGCATCAGCATTTATCCTTCCTTTTAAATCATATTAATTCCTTGCCTCACATATTCAGTGAGTCAGTCCTCATACCCTGAAGTCTCTGAACCATCAGTGGAAACCCTGCAGTCTACCCTCATAGCACCATCTTGTCATGTGCAACTGAACTACTGGAATTACTTGATTTTTACTCTTTTGGCTCTTTTGGGGAGCCACCACCAAGCTCCTAAATAAACCACACACAGAGACTTTTTCTCAGTTGTGAATGCCTAGCCATAGCTTGGCTTTTTTTCTAGCCAGCTTTTCTCAAATGAAATTAACCCATCTACCTTGTCCCTCTGGGCTTTTTTCCTTTCTATTACTTTGGTATATAGTACATTCACTCTTGCTGCGTGGCTGGCTGGGTGGTTGGGCCCTAGCATCTTCCTCTCCTTGTTCTCTTGCTCCATCTTCTCTCCTTGCTTCTCCTTCTGTTTATCCTCTCTGCCTGCCAGCCCTGCCTACCCTTTCTGCTTTCTCACTATTAGCTGTTCAGCTCTTTATTAGACCATCAGGCTATGTAACACAGCTTTCCAGAGTTAAACAAATAAAACATAAAAGAATGGAACACATTTTTGCATCATTGGAAAAATGTTTCACAGCATAAACAAAAGTAACATATGTTAAAATCATATTCTACAAAAACCTACTGCATTGCCCATCCTGTGGCCTCATTCTCTAGGTTTAACATTGTTTCCCCATTTCTTCTGAGCTTGGAACACTCATCTCTCCTCAAACTACGTGGCCAAATACTCATAGACTGAAAGCACTTCAGCTTTGTCATAGTTTACAGTAACTCATGCCTTTTCATCTGGGTTTTCACTTGCCAGACAAATAAGCTTTCCTGTAGTAAATGTAGTTTTCTATTTCTTTTAATGAGAAAATGTAGCATGTATGCATGAACATGTAGAAGATATTGTGGAACTGGCTAGTTATTTACTGATTTAGGTATCAGCTTTAATAGCTGAATGCAAATGGTGTTCAAGTTAAATACACAGATATATTCTAATCTTTAAAAGAATTCACTACTGTATTATGTCAATACTTTGAACATATTAGTAGGGTATCTAGAATGAAATCACATCAACATTTTTTGTATTAATATATCTATTTTATTAATTTTTATTTCTTACCTGTTATAAAACAAGTTATTCATTGTAACTAAATCATTACAATAATTAAGTAGTATAAAATTCATAGATAGTCTAACATTATTGGATAAACTAGTATAGCAGCAACAGGTCATATCTACTTTACACAAGAAGAATATGAGTCTCATAATGTCCTGGTTAGAATTTTTTTTTTCTTTTTGTCAACATGGAAGAGTAAACTTCAATTTAAAAAGGGGTTTCTACCATACTGGCCCACAGCCAATATTTATTTGATTAATGACTGGCATTGTGGGCAGTGTTACTGGAGTACGGCATCCCTCAATCTGTCATCCCTCAATCTGTCAGTCCTGACCCCTTTTGGGGTCTAATGAGCCTTTCACAGGCAACACCTAAGGCCATTGGGAAACAGAGACACGTAAATTTACATAATGTTCCATAACAGAAGGAAAATCACAGTTATGAAGTAGCAACAAAAATAATTTTATGGTTGGGGGATCACCACAACATGAGAAATCTATATTAAAGGGTCGCAGCACTAGGAAGGTTGAGAACCACTGCCTGAACAGTTGGTCCTGGTTACATAGGAAATCAGGTTGGGCAAGTCAGTAAGTAGCATTCCTCTATGATCTCTATTTCAATTCCTGCCCTGACTTCCATTCATGATGAACTACAAACTAGAAGCTGAAATAAACTCTTCGGCAAGTTACTTTTGGTCATGGTGTTTTATCATAGCAACCACAAGCAAACTGGAGCACACACATTATCATGTTTCTTTTTCAGCTATAATAGAAGGCATTATTAGCTTTATCTGAAGCATAAGTGAATTGTGGCTAAGAGACATTCAGTTACCGGTCTGTAGTTACACACGTGATAGGCAATAATGAAACTTTAATTACTAGGACTTAACTGTATAAACAAATACATATTTCCTCCAATGCTACAATTCTTTGAAATGCACTAGGAATAATAGAAATGGCATTATTAATCAGATTTCAAGATTATGGGCTTCACTACAAAGCCTAAGAACACATACTGGTAATTTTTCAGTAGCATATCAGATTTCATATGAGCCAGTTCTTTCTGAAGATAAAACTCAGAAGACCAACCACTGAATTGTACTCACTCTAAATGACAATATGCTGTCAAAAAAGAACAAAGCACCAGCTCACATCTTATAGAATTATTTAATCTATGAAATATCTAGGGACACATGAATATTAAAATAAATACGCTATCCAATGAATGGTGACTATACATTTCTCCCAAACTTCAATGCTTTTGAGCCTAAAGAGATGAGACTAATACATTAAGATGGTTCTAGGTAAAACAGGATACATGACCTAACTCTCTACAAAGCAAAAGTATTAGGTTCTTTCAAAACTAGGATACTCAACACCACAAAGACAATCCACAAACTCTAACTCTGAACATTTTAATGAGCCATTCTGGAAAACATCATCAGCTGAAGTCGACAGAAACTCATCTTGGGTTAGGTAACACTTATCTTCAGGAAACAGTTTGCCACCCAAAATAACCCAGAACTGTCAGACCATTTTCATCTTACCACACAAAGAAGCTGCTGCTGAGAATGTTTTAGGGAAGTTGAAATGAGTATGGAAATGCAAACAAGACCGATAAAACAGTTGACAACTTATTCTCTGTGTCACCTCAGTAAAGAAG